AACGGGACTAAGTGGTTCTAGTTCTTCGACATCCACCATTTTTCTTTTTTCTTTTTAGTCCATCAAATTTTTAGTTATGGACTATAGTTACTATAGTCATCTATATTATACGTGATTGAGGTTATTGTCCGTACTGATGTAACACGACCACCATTTGTTAAGTTGAGTGCCTATTATATAGGTAGATTATAACTAGAAGATTAAATAAAGTAATTTTTTTTTTTTTGGGAGGAGGGTGGTGTGCATGTGCAATGAGGGACGTGGCGTGATCTCTTGGTTCGGTGTGACTTAAACATAAGTTGTAAATTTGGAATTTTGTGACGGAGATATCTATGTTTTTTTAGGTGGACAAGAGTTATCACCGGGCATCACGACGCCGGAAGTTACTAGAAATTTTCGTCGGCTGCCTCAAAGTCGATGGATAACGAAAGCTGATTGCACCGACTTAATATATATCCTCATAAAAAATTGATAGGTTTCTTTTCGCGTATCATCGAGATCATATTTTGGAAAAAACCAAAAAAAGGCTAATAGTTTTAGAAATGTTTTACGAAAATAGAAACTATGGGTATATTCAAAACTGCCAACCCATGAGTAATGACAGTCGTTCGAAGACCCATGTTTCAAAATAAATAAATTTATAGAAATTCCGGATTCGATTGCATTACGGAAGAAAATAATTGTAGGTTAGAAATTTAAGTTGCAGATGCAATCCAAATATTTTATTTGAGATATATTTGCTCCAGATTAAAAAGGGTCTATATCCAAACTTCTAAGTTCAAAACAAAACAAAAATTTACGAGAAACTCCTATCAAGAAACCTATATAATTCTGCATGAACTTGATCCGGACACTAGTGGCAAATAGCAAAAGAGAGGTGGTCAATTAAAAGAGAGAGGTAGTTCTATTGTATTTCGTGGAAAGTCAATTTATTCATTATATTTGTTGCGTCACTTGACTCATTTGGGTGCATTGTATATGTTTAGATTTAAATTAAATAGATAGAAAGATTACAATATTTGTTACGAGTGACGTGGCAGAAGATGAAAACATTTGATATATATTATGATAAGCTAGGATTTCGGGGGTTACAGTTCAATGGTGGCTCTTAAAATAAGTTTT